GTGGAGTAACTCAGTGAAACTGGTGAGTCTGGTGGTGAGCCCTCGGTGCCTGGAACTGACTCCAGCTGAAATCTAGAGATGGCTGGAGGGTAACTAACTGAGACACCAGGGTGCCTGAGCACTGGGGGTGAAGACAAGACAGAGACTAGGGAGGATCTCACTGAGGTCTGCAAGTTTGTAGGTGATTCTGGGGTGTGGGAGGCTGACTCTCGCGGAGATCTCGGTGTGCTGGGAGAGTAGCTGGGACAGACAGGAGGGTCCCTGAGGGCTGGGGGTGAGCTGCTGGGTGATGGCAGGAAGAACATATGGTATATTGTTGAACAGGGTGACTGTGAAGAATCTCCAGAGGAGGACATGGGAGAGCGCAATGGCAGAAGGGATTGTCCCTCTGGCTTAGGAAAAGGAAATGTAAAATGGTGATATTCTGCTGATGACGGATGGGAGCGTGCTGAAGTTTCAAGGGATGGTGAAGAGCACCTCCACATCCCTGGTGAGGAGCTGCCCCTTGGGTCTGAGTTTCTGGCAGGGGAGAGGGAGAACCCGTGTGTGGCTGGCATGGATCTTGAGGAGGCCAGGCTGTGGGACCGCTCATAGGAGGAGCCAGATGAGACCCCAGTGTTCTTTGATGCAGACATGATTAGGAAACCTGCAGCTCCCAGGGCGCGCTACCAATGTTCTGACCCCTACAATGTAGCGTCGTGTGTGTGTGTGTGTGTGCGTGCGTGTGTGTGTGTGTGTGCGCGCGTGCGTGCACTGGCGCAGTCGGGTTAAATCTGGCCTATAAAATCTCTATAAATTTTTCTATGGTATGGTTTTTTTGTGTGTGAATTTTACACAGCCAAAAATTTTTACACAAATGTTTACTCATAAAATATTATAAATATATATATATATGTGTGTGTGTGTGTCATATGTAATTAAAATCCAGTTATTGATCCTCCTTTTTAACCCCAAACTTTAGGCTCAAAAGTTTAATTACAAATTTTTGGCCTGTTGATGCTTTAACTTCTTTTTAGTTTTCATTGACCACTTTTTAATTTTCTTTTGTGCAAAGGAGAATTATTGAGCAAATGACAGAAATTCCTCTAACATTTTAAATTATTAAAACTATGTCTTGGCCATCATAAGTCACCATGCAGTCATCCCTCTGCATATTTGGGGGAATTTGTGCCAGAACCCCAGGTACACCTAAATCCATGCATACTCAAGTTCCACAGTTGGCCCTGTGTAGGCATGTATAAAAAAGTTGTACGCATGTATATAAAAAGTTGGCCCTCCATATACTTGAGCTTTGCATCCTACGAAATCTGTATTTTTGATCAGTGTTTGATTGAAAAATATCCAAATATAAGAGGATCTACACACTTAGGTGTCACCTTCAGTTTTCCTTCCTATCCCCAGAGTGTCAACCTCTGTTATCTGGTCTCTCAGTTCAACCTTCAACTTATTACCTTTCTGGGATCAGAGGCTTCAATACATGGTAATCCACAGGAGTCAAATTCATGATTCAGGGGCAAGGTCAGCAAGACATGTTAATCAAATCTTAAATATCAAAGAGTAACTAAAAGCTTACCTTATGAAAGCATTCTTGCAAGTGTAATTTACATCGTCAGCACTGAGCCACAGAAGCACACTTCCATTCAGAGGACTCTCACATCAGGGAACATATCCCAGAGGAAAGAGAATACTCTATAAGGGGAAAAACAAAAACGTGAAAATAGAGCTCCTTAATATTGCCTTGGATATATGAAAATAAGTCACTTGCCCTCTATACTTCCCACATGCATTCCCATTTCTTCATATCGAACCATTTCTGGCCAAAATTTCTAGACACCTATTTCCAGGGATCTGTTTTATATTCAAGGAGGAATGTCCCTAGGAATCTACATCTTAAATAGTAACATGCTCATGCTAATCCAAACACAAATCTCATTATCCTGAGGGATCTTTGCTATCTGGTTGCTTAGTCTTTCCTAAATAGTCAAAGAAGGAAATCTTTGTATTTCATTTTTGTTTTTGAATAATTTTTACTTATATCATTTATTATAGCACAACAGCATACATTCTAAAAAGGCGCAACATAAACTGAAAAATTGGATACATCCATTATCACTTTCAATTCTAATCTGTACACACTTTATCATAATATATATTATTTCTATATTCTTGACTCACATTCACATTTTTCACTATATATCATAGACACTTTCCTAAATTTTACAAAATCTTCACATGTAACAATAGCAAGTGCCGAATGGAACAGATTATGAGCTATCTAATTGAAACATCATGTAGTAAAATGATGCACTAAAACATGGTTTTCAAGCGTAAGTTCTAAACACTACAGTAATCTTTCAATCTTCTCAATAAGCCCACTAGTGTTAGCATTCCATTTACTCTTTATGGAAAAAGAAGTCTATCACACTGGCAGATGGCTTTGGCATGATTTTCTCTGATTCAGGTCTGCACTTGATCTTAGCCAAAAGGCCGAGAAGTGATCTGATTCAGGTCTGAGTGCTTTCTGCAAGGAAAAGTGCCAATACTTATTATTTTCATAGGAATATGTCATAAGAACCAAGTTTAATGTTGTATATGGAATTGCTAGGTTGAAATGTCATTCATAGATTTCCCCCCTTTCTTTTCCAGAACAAATTCTAGATACACAATAATAGAGGACTGACTGGAAGTTTTCCCACATGTATTGTTTTTATAGCAGCTCTTCCCATTACATGTACTACCTTAAAATAAATTATTTAAAAGAATGAAATAAAAAGGAATAAATTCCAGCTGAGAGATTTCCAAACTAGTTACATTCATAGAGTTTCTCTTCAGTATGAGTTGCCTGATGCCTAATAAGTTTATAGCTATTAATGAAAGCTTTTCCACACTGAATACACGTAAAGGGTTTCTCTCCAGTATGAGTTCTTTGATGTACAATAAGTCGAGCACTCAAACTAAATGTTTTTCCACACTGATTACATTCAAACGGTTTCTCTCCAGTATGCGTTCTCTGATGTTGAGTAAGACATGAACTCTGCCTGAAGGACTTCCCACAATGACTGCATTCATAGGGCTTTTCTCCAGTATGAGTTCTCTGATGTACAACAAGAACATAACTCTGGCTGAAGGATTTCCCGCACTGACTACATTCATACGGTTTTTCCCCAGTGTGAATTCTCTGATGCATAACAAGGTGAGAACTGCGGTTAAGATTTTCCACATTCACTGCATTCATATGGTTTCTCTCCAGTGTGAGTTCTTTGATGTGCAACAAGCTGAGAGCTCCAGCTGAAGGATTTCCCACACTGATTACATTCAAAGGGTTTTTCTCCTGTGTGAGTTCTTTGATGAGCAACAAGTTTATAACTTTGACTAAAGGATTTCCCACACTGATTGCATTCATAGGGTTTTTCTCCAGTATGAATTCTTTGATGTGCAATAAGTTTATAGCTCTGGATAAATGATTTCCCACATTGATTACATTCATAGGGCTTCTCTCCGGTATGTGTTCTTTGATGTGCAATAAGTTTATAGCTCTGCCTGAATGACTTTCCACACTGATTGCACTCATAAGGCTTCTCTCCAGTGTGAGTTCTTTGATGCACAACGAGGACATAACTCTGGCTAAAGGATTTGCCACACTGATTACATCTGTAAGGCTTCTCTCCAGTATGAGTTCTCTGATGGGAAACAAGGTGTGAGCTCCGGCTAAAGGATTTTCCACATTCACTACATTCATAAGGTTTCTCTCCTGTATGCGTTCTCTGATGCGCAACAAGATGAGAGCTCCAGCTGAAGGACTTCCCACATTGATTACATTCAAAAGGTTTCTCTTCAGAATTATTTCTCATGCTTTGAGTTAGGGAGGAACTCTGAGAGGTTTTACTACATTTATATAGACTCTCTTCAACAGGAATTCTCTGTTCATTATGGGATATGTTGTGGTTCAAAACTTGCCCGCATTCTTTAAAATCAAAGGTTTTTCCTCCTCCATGAATTTTTTCATGTATCTGTAGTGGTGTACCATGGCAAAAAGATTGAACACTGTCATGCAATCCACAGGATTTATCTTTTGTTTGAGTTCTTGTAAACTGAATAAGGTGAATGCTCTGAGGGGGTTTTCCACATTCATTATTTTCACGTACTGTCTCATTGTCATCAATCTTCTGATGACTGTTTACAGCAGAATTAAGATACCATTTTTTAGCATGTGGTACATGGTTATGAAAATGGTTTATTATGGGTATAAATGGGGATGAAAATAGGCTGGAATTCAGACCACTCTTCTCCCCAGTTTCATCACTTTTGCAGACTCTCTCATGAATAATTGCTTTCCTTTGAGTGAAAGCCACTTCCTGCAAAAATATCTCGTGTTTTTCCTGTTGCTCCTCCAACTGATCTTTATAGTCACCAACTTCTTCATATGAAGACAACCAAGGATCATTCCTTGTAAAACATTCTGTCTTCACTCCATTGGCTGGCTCTTCATCAGAAATGTTCTGCTTTGAAGCTGAATCTTCTTTTCCAACCACAGCTGGTAAGTCTGAAAGAAAGCAAAATGAAGACATCTTAGCCAAAAAATATTAGAGCTGGAAAAATGGAATAAAGCTAACAATAAAGTATGAAAAATGCAGGTGGATTTGTTTTCAAATACTGACCAATTACCTAGGTTGAAAAAACAAAAGGGTGAGATAAACCATTAAGTACAAAACTACCACAGCCCAATATTACAATAGAACATTAAAAGGCAACTATCATAATACTGGTTTAATCTCAGTCTGAATAAACAAGACTTTGGATGTCAAATACCTGCATATTCCAAAATAAGATCATCTACATAGAACCTACTGAATTGTAATCCAATTTTGCAATATGTAAAGAAGAGAGGTTCTTTTCCACTCTTTATTGCTATACAGTTGTTCACTAAGAGATTAGTGTCTACATATCTAGGAATTTCTGAAGGCATAAAACTTGTTAAATACTCTACTCTGTGTCAGTGAGACATGAGAAAACTACTTTTGTGAACAAAAGAAAAGGAATGGGGCATTATTATCCTAACTAACATTATTAGTTCCCTAAATGGGGCATTATTATCCCAGTTCCCTAATACAGCCCCATGAATTTCTGTGATTCCAACTGAGAGAGACTAGAGTTGCTCCTAGTAGCCCGGGTGGCTACTAGGTCAAGCAATACAGAGTATATATGGAAAAAGTGGTCATATATACAGTACCCCAAAAGGTATGAAATGAAGAAAAATGTGGCATCTTCTATAGGGGTTTTTTTCAAACAAACCTTCTATACCTGCAATGATCCCTATGTGTCCGGTTTTCACTTGAACATATGTATTGGAAAATTCTTTTTATATTCTTTCCCTTATTCCAACAAGGAGATTGTATCTGTTTTGAAAAGCTGATGAGGAAGATACAGGAAGATACAGGAATCTGAGTGTTCGAAGCTGAGGACAAAAGAAAATTACTGCAGAATCTGGTCCCAGCCTTTGGTCTTTAGGAACATGAAGACTGAAAATCTCAAGCCCCAGAAGCTGCACTGTTTCTACCTTATAAATTAAAATTAATCTTCACTGGAGAATAAAGAGCGCAAACACAATCTATATGCAGCCAATATCATTGTGGCTGCTGAATCACACAGTTCTTCATCAATGAGAATGTGAAATCATTTCAGTACATGGATCTTCATTAAAAAGGAGTATATTCTTACCCCAAGAGACTAGGTCTCTGTGGCTCTCCAGGATAATATCTCCATCCAGGCTCCTCTGAGCAGGTTTCCAAGTGCCCTGTTCCTCCTGTGTGAAGTCCACAGTCACAATTTTGAAGTTCACGCCTTCCTAAAAAAATACACACATTCCTGCTCAGCTGAGCACCATTTCCTTCCAAAGTTCATGGAGGAAGAAAAGTCTGACAGATGGAAAAAGGAAAATCTGGTGACCTGGGACTTGTCCTGAGATTGTCAGTGCCCAAAAGATTCCAATCAAGATGTGCAGGTGCCTTCTGGGTGAACTCTTTGGGTTTTGGATGCTGGACCTGTTTTTACAACTCCAAAGAGGAACACGAGATAAGAACTGACATAAACTATCTCATCTTGTCTGCCTTAAAAAAAAGATGCTTATTCTGATTTTTGCAATAGTGATTATAGAATTCTCACTTAGGAATTTTCTCCAAATTTCCAAGAAACTAATGAAACAAGTGGTTACTTTTTTTCTGTCAAAGGTCAGACAGTAAATATTTTACATTTTGCCAGCCACAGTCTCTATCACACTACTCAACTCTGCTGCTATAGCAAGAAATTAGCCACAGAAAATATATAAACAAATGGGTGTGGCTATATTACAATAGATCTTTATTTACAAAAACAGCCACAGGCTGTACTTTGCTAATGCGTGAGATAGAAAATGAAATGTGGACCTCAACGAAAAGCAGTATGAATAGGTGAAGAACACGGGATGTAGACAATAAAAAGACTTGGTTTTCTCACCTATAAAGAGCATATATCTGGATTTAAAAATATATCTAATCTGACAACCTATCTTTTTTTTTTTTGAGACAGGGCTTCACTCTGTTGCCCAGGCTGGAGTGCGGTGGCACAATCATGGCTCACTGCAGACTCTACCTTCTGGGCTCAAGTGATCTTCCCACCTGGTCTTCTGAGTAGCTGCAACTACACATGTGCACCACCATGCCCGGCTAATTTTTAAATTTTTTGTAGAGATAGACCCTCATTATATTGCTTAGGCTGGTCTCACACTCCTGTGTTCAAGCAATCCTCCCATCTCAGACTCCCATGGTGCTGGAATTACAGGCATGAACCACCACACCTGATCCAATCTGTCTTTTAATGGTGACTTTGTTCCATTTCTATTTATTAGGCCTAATAATACCTAACTCATTGGGTCGAATGAGTAATTATGAAGATCTATGAAAAGCCACTAGCAGAGTTTACTGATGAAACAACAAAGGCTAATAATTACAGGTTGAGTATCCCATAACAAAAATACTTAGGACTGGAAGCATTTCGGATTTCAGATTTTGAAATATTTGCACTTATATGATGAGATGCCTTGAAGATGAAATCTAAGTCTAGACACAAATTCATTTATGTTTCATAGACACCTTAAACATGTAGCCTAAAGGTAATTTTAAGCAATATTTTACATAAATTTTTGTGTATGAAACAAAGTTTTGACTGTGTTTTAACTGTGACCAGTCACAGGAGGTCAGGTATAGAATTTTCCACTTGTGGCATCATGCCATGGCTCCAAAACCTTTAAATTTTGGACAATTTCAGATTTTTGGATTAGGAGTGCTTAGCCTGTACTGCTATTATTAGTAGGTCTCAGAATCCTGAAAGATTAACTGAGAGCAAAAGTGACCTTCATTCTGAATGCTCAGTCTTCAAAAAACAGTTATGTTTCTGTCCATATCCAGCTGCATGGCAGAGCCTTTTAGGACATATTCACTGTTATTACTGCCATATAAACAGGGTCTCTTGGGCTGTCTCCTCCGAGCAGGAAAGGGCCTGTTTTTAAGATAACTGGGCAAGAATTTTAATCCAAAAAAGAAGGGCTAAGGGTGATCTGTCCTTACCCAGGAGCAGCAAAGGCAAGGAGAAGTCAAATGCCTCTTGCCACTAAAGGCTCTTTAAATAGAACAGGCATTCTTGAACTGCAATTCATGAATAGGATACAGGGTCCTGAATAACATGAAAACACATGCAAAACACTGCTGTACATGCCTCTAAGTTTGAGCCTAAAAATTTCACCAAAACCTCAAATGTTTTCATGATTAGCCCAATGTGAAATTCAGAAAAATAACTTGCCAAACTGCTACATGAATTTAACATTAATATTTAAGGTACTGTCTTTCAACCTGTAATGCATGCTTCCTTTTAATAAACATTCCCCCTTCCTGTTTAATATAGGTCTCTTTAGTATAAAGCTTGCTCAAGTGTCAAACAGATAATACTAAACTAGATTAGCACCCCACTCCACTCCTAACTATATAAAGCTCTGTGGACTTCTATCACCGCACTTTCTTATTTGCATTAACGGTCATCTCTGTCACTAGGTCATGATCCATGAAGGCAGGGACAAGGTGTTTACGGTTTGCAAATGTAACTCCAAGGCTTAGCATAGTGTTTATATATAGTACATATTAAATTTATATTTAATAAATTATTTCAGTAAGTGAATCAACAGTATCAACAAACCTAATATATCAAAATAACCTTCACCCAAATTGATTTAAGTCATCTCCCCTTACCTGAATCTCACAAGTTGTACCACAAATAACCATGTTTGAAAAGGCCCTTTAATGTGCAGATACTAGCTTTTCTGGACTTCTATCCCACTTATTCTACTCTTCTCACTTGTCCCAAATTTCCCATGCCCGAAAACTCTTTCCCAAAATCCTCAACTGTGCCCTTGAAACTTGTCTTCTGTAACAATAAAATAGGCTGGGTATGATGGCTCATGCCTATAATCCCAGCATTTTGGGAGACCAAGGTGAGTGGATCATTTCAGCCCAGGAGTTCAAGACCAGCCTGGGCAACATGGTGACACCCTATTTCTACTAAAAATATACAAAAAATTAGGCAGTTATCCTGGTGCATGCCTATAGTCCCAGCACTCAGGAGAGGCTGAGGTTTGGAGAATCACCTGAGCCTGGGAAGTCAAGGCTGCAGTGAGCCATGATCACAACACTACAATGCAGCCTGGGTGACTGAAGTGAGAACCTGTCTCCAAATAATAATAAAACAATGCAGTTTCAAATATCCTTCACCAAATATTCCCTATATATCCCTATGTTAATGGAGACCTACACTTCCTACTGAGGACTTCTTTCCTCCTCAGTCCTCAGAAGCTAAGAATGCTCATGCTCTCCCATCCTAGGGATCTCAGCATCAAAGGGAGGGTGCATGTCCTCCCAGTTACTCTGAAACTCATGCCATTTACTTCACTTCTTGGAGCTCTGTCCTACCCACCTACTGCACACCACCCCCACCCCCATGCACTGAAGATTCATACCTGGGATTTATACTCTAATATAAGAAATTGTATTGTCTTGTCTCATGTTGTCTATAACATCTCCACTTGTATGGTTAGCTGATGAGAATATAAAAATAACAGACTTCAGTGAAGTACTTATGAGTTTTCATGAAGCACCACCACGGTGTCAGGCATTGTACTAACATGTCACATGATTATCACTCATTTAACTCTCACAGGGCTCCTGTGAGAAAACACTATTAGCAGTACCATTTTTTTTCTTCTGAAGAACAAGACAGTCAGAGAAATTAAGACATATGCCTAAGGTTAGTAGTTAGGATACAACCACAAGCTTGCACACATCAGAGACTGTGTTATCAGTCATCAATTCATATGGCTAGCCCAACTCTCATATCCTGAAGCTGCTCTTCATCAGCTCACTCTTAGGGGGACACCCCAGACCTTAAAATCTCCATAAAGCACTACAACTTTTGAATCACAAATACGAAACTGCCCATCTTTCACCACAATGTCAGATTGCTCCACTGTATCAGCTCAATTTTCTCCCTTTACTCTTGTCCCTCGATGGTTTAGGGCCATATGTACGGAAATGTCTACTATTACCACTACCAGCCGATATTCTTTTCATTTCTACTTAGTGACCTCTTTATCTCTTCCATATTAATTACTTAATTTAAGGTCCATGAATCATTCATTGTAATCTTCCTATTTGAGATATTTTAAAATTCTCTTTCAAATATTCCCTTGACCTTTGGAATGTCTACTCCACAGGAAGGGGACCTGGCAAATTACGAAAACTAAATGAACTTGAATGTCCATCTGCTATCTTTGGAAAGTGGGCTACAAAACGACACTGCAGGAAAAAATCCACAAAAGCAGCAAGACAGAGTATTATAAATTAATGGCCACTATCTCTGAATGAACCTTTCAGATTGACCAGCAATCCTATCACACCTACTGGAGAAGCCTGTTTTCTCTCATAATCCAAAATTGTTATTTTAAGCCTTCTCTACCCTTATCATCTATCTCTCCATTCTAAATTCTCACCATCATGCTCATCTGATTTTTCACAGTAAACAAAAATCGAGCTTTCATGTAATTCCCTCAACCTCACTGTTCCTATATAAATCCTTCTCCTTATATAGAGCAAATTTATTCAAGATGCTCTGAATTAATTTCTCTGGTGCTAACCAAGGACTTTGCTTTATAGTTTCTCTTATCTCCTGATCATTAACTTTTTTTCCTCCACTAACTCCCTCCTGTAATCACTTAAACTGAGTTGAATCTTTTCAAGCCCTTAAAAAAAAAAAAAGCCCCTCAATCTCCAAAGTCCTTGAAGTTCTCACTTTCTTCCGCCTTTCACACAATAACCAAAATCCTTGAAAAAGTTGTCCACTCTCATCTCCGTTTCCTCTCTTTTCTACTCACTTCCCAGCCATGCACATTTCTCAATGTAAAGACAGAGGCTTGCCCAACTTACTTGAGATGGGATGGTCTGTGACTCAGTGTCTTCTCCCTCGACTTTGATGATAATCTCTTGAGGAAGGAGAGAATCCTGAGAAGGCAAAACAGATGAGAAAAAGTAAAATAATCAGGGAGCTAAGTGGCAGCTCAAATCTCCTCCTGTCAGTGGGCTAGGATTTGACATACCACTGTTTTAACACATCCTCCCCACCATACTTCTACTCCCTCCTCCCATTGGTCAGCTCAGCTAACCATGTGGAGAGAGAAAGGAGCACCAAGGCCCACAGAGGACTGGGCATGAGGTCTCTGCGGGACTTCTGGGCCAGTCCAGTTGCAGCTAAATGCAGCAGAACGAGTGCATTAAAGACACTAAAGAGCAAAGAACTGTCCGGCAGGCCCTGCTAAAATTCCTGGGTCACAAAATTATAAGCAAATAAAATGGAATACAGCACGACCAATGCCAAAATCATAAAGAAAAAGATTAACAAATTAATTTTTTAAGATGTTTAGCAGGCCGGGTGTAGTGGCTCACACCAACACTTTGGGAGGCTGAGGCAGGCAGATCACTTGAAACCAGGAGTTTGAGACCAGCCCGGCCAACATGATAAAACCCTGTCTCTACTAAAAATTAAAAAACTCGCTGGGCATGGTGGCACACTCCTGTAGTCCCAGCTACTTGGGAGGCTGAGGCAGGAAAATCACTTGAACACAGGAGGCAGAGGTTGCAGTGAGCTGAGATCATGCCACTGCACTCCAGCCTAGGCAACAGAGCAAGACTCTTTGTCGAAAAAAAAAAAAAGAAAAGAAAAAGTACCACTAATAAAGGCATTATCAAGACTCTATACTATTAAGACTTCTTCCAAAACAGTAAAAGGTAGCCTCAACAGAAAAATGGACAAAGAAAAATGCACATGCAACCATGAAGAAACTGCTGTGAATATACAAACCAGATGCCCACCTCTTTACGTCAAAATCAAACACCTATTTCTATATTAAAGATCATAAATTCACATGGATACCTCCAACTACAATTCAATAACACATCTTACTCTAACTAACCTTTCTCCTTTCTTTATGTATACCTTCTTTCTCTGGCTCCCATTTTCCTCTTTATATTTACTTATTTGCTCATTCCCTGTATGTAATCATCATGACCACACAGGATGTTTCTGTGACAATCACAGTCATTAGTCTGTTGCTAATGACTCCAGCTCTGGCAACCCACTGGACAAGAGCTTCATATATTCTTAGAAGAAGTATAAGTTGATACAATCACCCTGTATTTGCTATATATTAAATATTTGTATTTACAAATAATGCTTTATTTGAAAATTCTTAAAGATTCACAAGAAATGGCAAAAATAAAGCCATGCTAATCCTTCCCTGGTAATATCATATATAACCACAGTACACTGTCAAAACCAGGAAACTGAAATTTTGGTACAATATTATTAATTCAAGTACAGAGTTTATTCTATTTTTATGTATATTTTTGTTTTAGTTTTTTTAAAGGCAATATTTTTTAAAGTGTAATGTAACATCCATTAGCCTACTTGTAAGTACCTATTCTTAGGAAATAACATGAAGTACACTGAGATGCATGTACAAGAAATCTCATTAGCAAGTTACATTATCATAGCAACATGGGAAGGGAGATTAAATGCCCACTAAGAAGTGCTTGGTCAAATAAATTATGCTTTACTCAGATGACTGAATACTATTTAGCAGCCAAGAGAAGAAGAAATAAATTTGCATGTACTGATACACATAATAGAAAGATGTCTACAGTATATTGCTGAGTGAAAAAATAAGAACAGTATACAGAAGATGAATAGATTTCTATGAAATATAAATATGCACAGAAAAATCTGGAAAGATGTTCCCAAAAGAATTAAGTTTTCTTCTAGGGTCTTTATGGTGTTAGGTCTTATGCTTAAGTCTTTAATCCATCTGGAGTTCATTTTAGGGTAAGGTGTCAGGAAAGGGTCCAGTTTCTGCTTTTTGCACATGGCTAGCCAGTTTTCCCAACATCATTTATTAAACAGGGAATCCTTTCCCCATTGCTTTTCTCAGGTTTGTCAAAGATCAGACGGTTGTAGATGTGTGGCGTTGCCTCCGAGGCCTCTGTTCTGTTCCATTGGTCTATATCTCTGTTTTGGTACCAGTAGCATGCTGTTTTGACTACTGTAGCCTTGTAGGATAGTTTGAAATCAGGTAGCATGATGCCTCCAGCTTTGTTCTTTTTGCTTAGAATTGACTTGGCTATGCAGGCTCTCTTTTGGTTCCATATGAAGTTTAAGGTGGTTTTTTCCAGATCTGTGAAGAAGGTCATTGGTAGCTTGATGGGGATAGTGTTGAATCTATAAATTACTTTGGGCAGTATGGTCATTTTCATGATATTGACTTTTCCTAACCATGAGCATGGAATGTTTCTCCATCTGTTTGTTTACTTGGAGAATATGATTGCACCTCCTCTCGAATGAAAACTGTTTTCAGCACCTTTTTGTTTAAAAGTTTTCACAAGAAAACAAAGAAAGCTCATCTTTCCTCAAAGTAGACTCTGGAGGAAATGTCCTTCCTTGCCCCGCCCCCAGCAGACAACTATATCACTTTACCCTGCTTTCCTATCTTCACATCACATATATTCTTGTATCTTTGGTTTTTTATTTAACTCTTCCAATAGACTGAATTTCTTAAGAGCTGAGGTCTTGTCTGTCCTGTTTACCATGGTTCCACCATGCTTAGATCATTACTGACACACAGTAGGCTCTTAATAAATGTATGCTGACTATAAAACAGCCACTAGAAGGGTCATGGAATGTGCTACCTGCACCTTTGCATTTGTCCCTGGGGTCCCTGGAGGCACTAAAGCATAGTTGAGTTCAAGCCCCTCCCCTGGTTAGAGTAAACCTCTGTTGGGTACCTTTTCTTCTCAGAAAATTCAAAGTGTCAGAGCCTCCAGAACCTGCTCCCAACTTACTCTTACAAACTAAATGATCAGAAACAAGCTTGTGACAAACACATGTGAGCCCATGAATGCATGCACACCCACATACCCTGACTCTTCCCCTAGGTTCTGCTCACTTTAAATTACTGACCTTTTTAGGAATATCTCCTGAATTTACATCTTAGCTTCCTTAGTTTCCTTCATATAATGTCAATATCATCTATCATTTGCCTAGTATTTTTAGTAATACATAGAGTACTTCAACACAGAATTTCCATCTCACAAAATCATCTAAGCTTTTTTTTTTAAGAGATAGGGTCTCATTCTGTCACCCAGGCTGGAGTACAGTGGCACCATCATAGCCTACTATAGTCTTGAACTCAAGGCTACTACTATAGTAGTAGCCTACTATAGTCTTGGGCTCAAGCTATCTACTGCCTCACCCTCCCAAAAAGCTGGGACTACAGATGCATGCCACCACAGCTGGTTAATTTTTTTTTTTTTTTTTTTTTTTTTAAGATGGAGTCTCGCTCTGTCACCAGGCTAGAGTGCAGTGGCACAATCTCAGCTCATCGCAACCCCCACCTCCCAGGTTCAAGTGATTCTTCTGCCTCAGCCTCCTAAGTAGCTGGGACTATAGGTGCGCACCACCATGCCCAGCTAATTTTTGTATTTTTAGTAGAGATGGGGTTTCACCATATTGGCCAAGATGGTCTTGATCTCTTGACCTTGTGATCCACCCACCTCGGCCTCCCAAAGTGCTGGGATTACAGGTGTGAGCCACCGTGCCTGGCCCAGCTGGCTAATTTTTCTGTTTTTATTTTTTGTAGAGGTGGGAGTCTCACTATGTTGCCCAGGCTGGTCTTGAACTCCTGGCCTCAAGTAATCCTCCCACCTTTGCCTCTCAAAGTGCTGGGATTATAGGTGTGAGCCACTGTACCCGGCCTAAACACATTTTGAAGAAAAGAGTAATATCTTTATTTCACCAGTGTAGAAATTAATGGTAATAAAGTTTATTAAGCTCATTTAAGTCCATTGATTGCCTGACACAAACTCTTCTGCTTTCCATTGTCTTACCAAAGTCTGTCTAATCACCCAAGGCCCAGATCAAATGCCACCTCCTCCATGAAGTGTTCCCAGATAGCAGAAAGCTTCATCTCTTTCTCTCTCAGGACTTCGTAACTTTGCTGGCCCTTTACTATACCAGTAAAATTATTCTCTTCATATTACTTCCATTTCTATATACCTCCCCCCTGGATCCTGAATTCTATATTATAAAGCAATGTGTATTTTTTATCTTTGTATTCTCCTCAGTATTGAGTAGGAGCACAACAAAAGTTCTCTGAATTTGACAAGACTAGAGACACATACAGCGTCTGGGACATAGGAACAAAATTAAAAACCTTTACCCTACTTTCTATATGTTCTGGAGCATTTTAAAATTACCCTCTTGTTCAACAGTCACCTTTATCATAAAGGAGCATTTCCCTTTTTCATTGAAGACTTTACAAAATGGGAACAGGAATCAGAATGTTGACTTCCAGACAGAAAAGGTTCTGGGCAGGAGATAATAATTGTTCCTTCTGTAACACAGGTGGGACTCCATGGGACCCAAAGCAGGGGAAAAGAGAGAAGCAGAACTATTGTGGAGTTCAAAGTGAGACAGTGGTAAATCAGACCCAGGGCTATGAATATTTGCTCGCCTATAAACAGAGATGACCAAATATACCTTTCCTAGTATGAGGCATTCTTGAAGCAATAAAATGAGGTTTCTAATCAAATCACAGAAGTATTGCTGGACTCAATTCTCCGAGCTTTGCTTTGGGGTGTACTGGCAGGAAACCCTCTATATTTGTGAGGACATTTAGAAAACACAAGCATCAGACAAGCAGACGACTTCTTGGTGTGTTTCCATCTCTTCCTGCCCAGGGAGATGGAAGGTGGAGCTCACGTTGCAGATCAAGGGATGTGGCATCCACAGAGGCCCATGTAGGAGGCCCTGAGGTTTCTTAATCACCAAATCTAGAAAGCATAAAACCAACCTCTACAAACTACATCACTGGAAAGAAGGTTCCCCTGCCTCATTTTTTGAGATCACCCTGACAAGAGGACCCTTTAGTTCTCATGCACAAGAAAATTCCCTCTCCTGCCCCACATTATCATCCATGAATAATTCTCACTGTCCTCAAATATAGAAAACAGACCATCCACATAGGGCCACCAACAACCTGCACAGCTTTGAACGCTGAGAATGACAGTGGATGGGTGAGATTCTACCACCTACTTGGCAGCAGTTTTGTTCTCAGCCCCTGAAGGCGGGTAGAGCTCAAAGTTGGCTCAAGGCCTTCCCTGGACCAGCTACTTCTCCGTGCATGAGCCACTAAAATCTCTAAGGTGATATCCCAGTATCCAGATGGTTTCTTCCTAGATTGGCTCACTGAACTCAAGGCCTTCATTCAAAGCAAAGACTTGGGCTCCCTTGATTTTTCTCTCCCTTCCAGGGTTCTAATATCCTTCAGGTCCAAATCAAGTACTTGTTCATCTTTTGATAATAATTAAAATTAACTAGAGAACATTCAGAGTTGAGAAGAATGGTAGCCAGACTCTGAGGTGGCTCCTAAAGACCCTTACTTCCTAGTATTCATGCCTTTGTGCAATCCTAGCCCAATGGTACCAACGTGGGTCTGTGTGACCAATAGAATATGGAAGAAGTGATGGTATATCACTTCTGAAATCAGATGATAAAAGACACTGTGGCTTCACCTTGACTGTATGCAACTACATGCTCTTGCTATCTCCTGCTCTCTCCCTCTCTCTCTCACTTGATCATTTGCTCTGGCAGAAATCCACTGCTATGCTGTGAATAGCCCTGGAGGGAGGCCTATATGGTATACAGCACCTCTTGCCAACAGCCATCTGAGTGTGCCACGATATCCTCCCACCTAGTCAAGCCTTCAGAAGGCAGCAGCTCCAGACAACAACTTGCCTGCAACCTCATCAGGGACCCTGAGCACCAGAAACAACCAGTTAAGCCGACCGGGATTCTTGACCTTCGGAAATTATGTGACAAAATAAACACTGGCTATGTTAAGCTGCAAAGTTTTGGGGTATGTAATAACAGATAACTGATACAAGAAACAGGACATTTTTGCTTTTCCTATGCAGCCTTGGAAAATACACGCAGCACATTTCTGGATGTGAGAACCAACTTGTGCAGGGCAGTGTTGCCTGCCTCATCTTTCTTCCCAGTGCTTTGCAAAGGGCCTCGTTAGGCAGTCACTAAACATGTGACGCAAGCAAGATACTGAATGGACTTCTAATTCAGTTCACAAAAAAGAAAATGGCAAAAGGACCATTACGATTCCCAGAAAACACCTAGTTCCTCGATTAAATGAGAACACCAGTGGCCACATCAAAACACATTTTACCAGCCAGGCACTGTGGCTCACCCTGTAATCTCGGCACTTTGGGAGGCCAAGGTGGGAGGATGGCTCGATCCCAGGAGTTCGAGACCAGCCTGAGCAACACAGTGAGACCCTGTCTCTACAAAAAATAAAAAATAAAAAAATCAGCTGGGCGTGGTGGTGTGCACCTGCAGTCCCAGCTCCTCAGGAGGCTGAGGTGGGAGGGTCACTTGAGTCCAGGAATTCTAGGCTGCAGTGATCTATGTTGGTGTGCCATGGACTCCAGACTGGGTGACAGAGTGAGACCCTGTCTCTTAAAAAACAACAACAAAATGACAAAAACCCATACATTTTACCTGTAGTTTTGATAAAGATATATGTGTAAACTTATATTTGCTTAACTCCTTCTAAAACAACTGCACATGTGTACAAGGAATCACATACAAAACATTTATATCAATGTTATTTGTAACAGCAAAAAATTTAACACTAAAGAGCCATTAACAAACCCATAAAAACCACAACATATTTAGAAGGTGAAGTCTGGACACTAGGTGTGCATAGTGGTACTGGGATGTCACTGCTGCCAGCCCTCCCTGGACAGACAGGGAATCTGTGGGCATACATATGCACACAGATACAGGCACACATCTCTATATATTTCTAGATTAATGTGTACTGAAAACCATGAGCCCACATTAAAACCTCCCATTCCTACTGCACACCAGAGTCCACTCAAATGTTCTTTCTTGCCATATCTGTACCTCCCTGATTTGGTGGCAAGACACCTGGTTCCAGTCCTTATTATATATACATTTATTATCTGATCTATCCCCCTGTAGGTAGCTCTTCTCTCATTTCCACAACCACGCCCTCTCCCCATGGATGCTTTCCCCATACTCCCTGGGCTCTGCCACCCCACACTAGGCCACCCTCTGCCCAGGGGCGCTCCTCACCCTGCTTAGGCTTTGACTCTCCAGGCTAGACTGCCTCGACTCTCAGATTCACTCTGCCACTTGGACTTGGACAGCCTTCATCAGGCCGCCCCACTATGTGGGTGCCCTCCACATGCTGCTGGGCTCTGACGCCCCTGCAGGCCACCCTCATGCACGATGCCCTTAACATGCTCATGCTCTGACATGTCACACCAGGCTGCACTCCACCCCCAACACAGGTGTACATCTTACCCTGCTCTGGCTCCAACACCCCATCTACCATGGACACTTGCTTGCTGCACTTGGGCTCCAACTGTCCCCAGTGGGGCACCGCCTCTCTGGATGCCCTGCTCGCCTGCTCTGACCCCATCACCCCACACCAGGTCCCCAGATATGGAGACTGGCCTCACCCACTTGGGCTCTGACACCCACATTGGGCTCCCCCAGGTACACAAGTGACTTCTTCATTCCACTTGGGCTCTGACTATGCGGAGATGTCATCCTGTGCAGATGCTCTCCTCACTCTACTTGGTCACCAACACCCTGCACATGGACACTCTTCACAGCAGGCAGCCCTGACAACTGCAGGTGCCTACCTCGCACTGCCCCACCTCATGGCTTCAGGGCTGAATTGTTCAGGAAGAGAAAGGAGAAGCCCTAATTTGACAGTTTTAAGAAATTCAGCATTTTCAAAGAATATTTGCAGTAGGAAATGTTCTCAATTGTTAACTTTCTTCTTTTTTTTTTTTTAGAGACAGAATCTTACTCTGTTGTCCAGGCTTGAGTGCAGGTGCACAATCATAGCTCACTACATCCTAGACCTCCTGGGCTCAGGCAATCCTCCCACCTCACCCCCTCAAGTAACTGGGACTACAGATGGGCACCACTATGCTGGCTAATTTCTAAAAATTTTTGTAGAGACAGGGTCTCATTATGTTGCCCAGGCTGGTCCTGTACTCCTGGCCTCAAGCTATCCTCCCACCTCGACCTCCCAAAGTGCTGGGATTATAGGCGTGAACCACTGTGCTTGGCCAATTTTTAATATTTTTACCTTAAAATGTACTGTACAAAAATGTGAAAATATAGGCCAAGTGGCCGGGCGCGGTGGCTCACGCCTATAATCCCAGCACTCTGGGAGGCTGAGGCGAGTGGATCACGAGGTCAAGAGATCAAGACCATCCTGGTCAACATGGCGAAACCTCGTCTCTACTAAACGTACAAAAAATTAGCCGAGCACGATGGCACACACCTGTAGTCCCAGCTACTCAGGAGGCTGAGGCAGGAGAATTGCTTGAACCCAGGAGGCGGAGGTTGCCGTGAGCCGAGATCGCGCCATTGCACTGCAGCCTGGGTAACAAGAGCGAAACTCTGTCTCAAAAAAAAAAAAAAAAAAAAAAAAATACAGGCCAGGTGTGGTTGCTCATATCTGTAATCCTAGCTCTTTGGGAGGCTGAGGTGGGAGAATGGCTTGAGACCAGAAGTTTAAGACCAGCCTGGCAAACATAGTGAGACATTGTCTCTACAAAAAATTTTAAAAATACACACACACAAAAATATTAGCCAGGCTTAGTGGTGCCCACCTGTAGTCCCAGCTACTCAGGAGGCTGAGGCAGGAAGATGGCTTGAGCCCAGGAGTTTGAGGCTATGGTGAGCTAGGATTGTGTCACTGCACTCCAACCTGGACGACAGAGCAACACCCTGTCTCCAAAAAAAGAACATACAGATAAATGAATGATAAAACAAAGTCACTTATAAAGTAACTCCAGATAATGTTTGCTAACAGTTTGGTATATTTATAGTCTTCTAATGTATTTTCTATATACACAAAAACCATATTCCTTTTTAAAAGGTGATGATTTCTAAGTGCTATTTACTTAACATAGGTAATAAATAACTTCTTCTGTCATTAAATTTGCATTATCATATCAGTTTCAATGGCTACAGTGTATTCCATTTCATGGTCTTACCATAGTTCATTCAGCTATCCTCTTGCATTGTACATTTAGTATATTTCCAGTTGTTCATTCTCAAACAAACCTTTGAATTGCTGGCCAAAGAGGAATCAGCATTCTAAGCGCTGTTGATTTAGGATGCCAAATTCCTCCCAGAAAGAGTTATATGGGCTAAAAAGGTGAGGCAACTACCAGGAAGATTCATAAATTAAAAGTGTGTAAGTGTTAAAGCCTGATGGCCATGAGGGCCCCAAACCCCCTAAAAGGCTGCAAAGAGAGTCAGGAGGGCCATAGCCTCCCAAGCCCAGAGGGTCAGGCTGCAGGGCTTATGTGGGAGCAAGCTCTGGGTCCCTCTGGAAAAGGTGGCTCCACTCACCTGCGCACAGGCCTTCGGGGGCTCTGGGGGCTTCTCATCCTGCTCTTCCATGCTCTCCTCCAGGCACAGCAGGGTGCTGAAGTCCTGAGCTGCACTGAGAGAAGTCCCAGGTACAGCATGAAGATGCAGGTCTGTCAGATCTGCTGTGGCCCCCACCCCCATTAGCCCCTGCACACAGGATGCAGGATGTATTCCCATAGCAAATACACTTCTAGAGGTTCCTGCCAACTTCCTGCCCAAATGTTTGTGCATGCACTGAGAGTCCCTCAGTCCCTCTCCCAGGCCAAGCTTCTGTTCCTCCACTATCTCGGGCCCCTGGACCATCCCCACCTGTAAGCCCAGCTTATACCCAAACATGGCCTCCTGCCCACCGCCAAAGTCTGCAGCACCACTCCATCACTCTCTTATTCCACTGGGCCCTGGGATTCCCCACAAATATCAGACATATCAAAGACCCCTTGGTGTTCACCCCATCCTACCCCTATCAACCTCAATCTACAGCCCCAAACCAGCATTTCTTCCTAGGGCCAGAATCATACTCACTGCCTAACTGCGTGAAGCTGGTGACACAGCTCCACTGCTCCCAAGAACTGATTCAGCAACTACGACTGATCCTACCCTTCCATCAGCCAGGCCTGTCCCTCCAGCAACCCAGCACAGAGGGCCACCCACTTCCTGCTCAAATAGCCAAGCATATGCACAGAGCTCAGCTACACCCACATCCTGTTTCCTCCACCATTCTGGGGTCCACTGGCTCCTGCTACAACAGCGCCAGCCAGATTTCTACCCTAACATCCTCCCAGGCTCTGAATTTGTAGCTCTAAACCGGTCTCTCTATCAGCTTGGGCATCCTCAGGCCTGAAACTACAACAGGGCCTGCATAGGACTAGGGGCCTCCAACAGACACCAACATAAGCCAGACAAAAGCATCCCTATCCAGGCTCTAAATATGTGTCTCAGAAGCTCAGGTGCCTATGTACCAACTAGGTGTTCTGGGGTCCAAGACTAAAGCAGCCCCTAGCAAATCCCACCTTGGGCACCCCACTCCTTGCACCCTATCTCTCCTTCTTACTCCCTCCCCTGCTTCCACCATATTCTCACTCACGCAGCACAGTGTAGGCTCACAATGCAGCTGTTTCCTGAACCTGCACCCAAACTGTTTCCTCACTTTCCTCCACAGCCCCGTTTGAGCCCCTGCCCAGATTCCCGGCCAAACACCTTCCTGGGCACATGTGGCTCAGGAAGATCCTGTCAACCTGGGCACCACCAGGCTGTGATCAGGGTTCCAACCACACAAAGACCCCAGCAGCCTCTGTCTAAAACTCATCTCCAGCCTCCCGTTTCCCAACCAAACACCTGTGTGTGTACACATGGAGTGCCTGACACAGTTCCACCCCTCTGCAGCTGCTTCCTCCACACACCTGAGCATCCACAGGCAGAACCAGGGTCCTAAGACTGCCCATGCCTCCCCAGTCTGCCCAAATGCCAGCACATGTGCAGAGTGCAGCTGGAGTAGCCCCATGCCTCCTAAGACCAGATTCAAACTGGGGCCCCCAGGCCTCTATTCCACAGCCACTGCACATGGGCTACCCACCGAGGCTCCCTCCTCCCACTGACACAGCCACAGAGCAGGTTCACGTTCACACTCTGCATCCAGGGCCTGGATCCTCTGCCAGTCTGGGGGCACACCCTGCTCCTGAGACAAGAATCTACATCCCTCACCCTTCCTGGGACATCTCAGGCACCCACATCCTCTGTGTGGGTTCTGGGGTCACCTGCCCCGCTATTTGCCTGCAGCCAGAACAACTGAACAGTAGCTTGAGCACACGGCTCCACAATCAGCCTCAGGACTTGTGCACTCGCCGGCGTGAGGGTTCTCAAGCCCATGATACAGCAGCTCCATGGGAACTGGGCCTTTTGGCCTTCTCTTGCCCAAACAGGAGGGCCTGGGTGTCGTGCAGTCAGGTCTTCCCAGGACCAAATCTGCAGCACACTGTCCCTCTACTAATCTGCACATTCTTGTGCCTGCAAGTAGGGTAGCCCAAGTAAAGGTCTCAAGAACATCTGCTTCATAAGGATGCTGGCAGTATACAGCTTCCTCCCAGCCACCAATTTGGTGGCAGCTGTTGCAGCTCTGTCCTTCCTGGACTCAGACTCTGTATCTCCAACCCAGAGTCTGCCATCTTGAATGTCCTGGAGCTCTGCACTACCCTACATAGGTTCCTACTATCAGTTCAAGTTTCTGTTTTCCATTCAGACACCCCCAGGACCTGCAGGGTGCCTTCTGCCCAGAATCTGTTTCTAGGCGCTGATACCCTCTTTCAGCCTGGGAGTTTGCTGCCCATGGGTGACTCCCACCAAGGGTTCACTAGCAATTGCAACACTGCCTCTTCTGGGACAAGAATCTGCAACTCCAACCTGGTCTCTCCACCAACCGCAGCGCCCCTAGACCCTCGAGAAGCGCGCTGTCTGCTCCGGGGGCCCAGAGCCACCTGCTCAGAATCTTATCTGCCACCTTTTGCTTCCTATTCAAACGCTTGCTCAAGGGTAAAGGGACAGTGGCACAGCCCCTCTTCTCCAGAAACCACAATCTGCAATGGAGTACTCCATCAACCCGGACATCCTCAGGACCTCCACTAAATAAGCCTGGCACTGGAGGAGGGGAGTTCTCAGGATGCTCCCTTACATCAATGCATATGCCCTATGCACCAACCTGGGTATCCTTAGGCTCCAGACAAGCGCACCACCTGACCAAGCACCCGCGCATGCACACAGAGGACAGTCGCAGAATGTACAGCTCTCTCAGTAACTCCATCATCCTCGGTGACCTCAGGCTAAAGCGCCACCCGCACAGAGACCAAGTCTCCCCGCTACACTCACCACCGCTTCCAGCTTCGCGCCTAGACCCTGCGCATGCGCACATCGGACACCAGGAGCTGCCCCGTGCCCCTACCGAACGTCCGCTGGCCCGCAGAGCAGGCTGGGCCTGTCACCGCCTCAGTGCCTGGCAGGCTCTGCGGCAGGACGAACTCGGGTTAAGCAAACCCTGGCCCCGATTCTGCAATACGGTCGACTCGGATTAAGCTTGTTTGGTCCTCTCCCCTACTGTGCATCCGCAGGGCCGCTGGGGGTTAATCCCGAAGGGCCTAACTGCTCAGCAACTGCGAGCGTCGGCGCGCGGAACAATGCCTGCGCTGTGGCCGAACCCGGAAGTGCATTTGGGTTCGGCGCGCCGGAACTACAATTCCCTGAAGCCTCAGCGGCGCGGGCGGTGAGTGGGAGAGATTCCGGCTCTTCTGAGGAAGTGGGGCGGAGGACCGAGGCAGAAGGTAAGCGGACGTCAGCGTCCGAGGCCTGGTGGGGCGTCGCGACTGTGCTTGTGCAGGTCTTGGGGGAAACCCTAAGACCAGCAACAGGACCGGGTGGCCGAGGCCAGTGCAGCGACGGGTGGGGAGTCGCTCTGACGTGACGTCGGAATCCAATAGAAATGGCGGGGACCCTTGTTAGGTGCCCCCTGTCAGACGCTGCGCGCGACCCACTGTCTCCTCTAGTCTTGGGGGAAACCTGTTAGACATTTGCGACATCCCTATTTTACCGTTGAGGGAGCGTCTACCGAACCCTTGAGGAATCTATGTTTTTACACTTAATAGTAAAATATAAAGAATCATTTTATTTGCACTCCCTGGCAGCCTCTCCTGAGGGATTCATTTGGCTCTCACCGTCTGGTCGTTAGGGGAATGTCACCTTCTCTTGAGGCATTGCCCATTGTGAATGAACCACCTGCTGTGAACTTGCAAGCAACCCCTTCCCTCCCCACAGGCTCCGTGACTCCCACTTCATCTTTTGTTTTTCTCTAGAGAACTTTTCGCTATCTAGCACACTATGTATTTTAAGTATTTGTTTGGTCTACCGTCTGCCTTCACCGCTACAATGTCAGTTCCATAAGGAAAAGCATTTCTAACGATGTTGATCACTGCTGCATCCTCAACCCGTAAAATAAAGAGACCTGGCACATAATAGATGCTTAATCTATTTTGACTAAATAAAGGTTCCCGTCTCTTTATTAAACACTTTAATATCTCATCACCCAGCCCAATCACCCTTTTAAGTAATTATGATGTTCTTTTCTTTTCTTTTCTTTCTTTCTTTTTTTTTTTTCTTTGAGACGGAGTTTCGCTCTTGTTACCCAGGCTGGAGTGCAATGGCGCGATCTCGGCTCACCGCAACCTCCGCCTCCTGGGTTCAGGCAATTCTTCTGCCTCAGCCTCCTGAGTAGCTTGGATTACAGGCACGCGCCACCATGCCCAGCTAATTTTTTGTGTTTTTGGTAGCGACGGGGTTTCACCATGTTGACCAGGATGGTCTCTATCTCTTGACCTCGTGATCCACCTGCCTCGGCCTCCCAAAGTGCTGGGATTATAGGCGTGAGCCACGGCGCCCGGCCCATGATGTTATTTTCAACCCACCGGGGAGGTAGCTGGAAATTGGAGCCCTGCTATATGAAAATACATAATGTTTTAGCTTTTAAAAATGCTTGTCAAAGCACTCCTGTAGTTTTCTCACGTAAATTCTGACCTTTAACAACAATGAATTATTGCTATTTGAAATGTAATCTCTATCCCCACAGTTTCTTTTTTGTTTTGTTTTTGAGACAGAATCTCACTCTGTTGCTCAGGCTGGAGTGCAGTGGCGTGATCTCGGCTCACCACAACCTCCACCTCACCGGTTCAAGCGATTCTCCTGCCTCAGCCTCCCGAGTAGCTGGGACTACAGGCGCTCACTACCATGCCTGGCTAACTTTTGTATTTTTAGTAGAGATGGGGTTTCACTACGTTGGCCAGGCTGGTCTCAAACTCCTGACCTTGTGATCTGCCCACCTCGGCCTCCCAAAGTGCGGGGATTACAGGTCTGAGCCACCGCGCCCAGCCTAAAATGTTTGTTTTGTATCTGGTTAACCTAATGCAATGTTATTAATTCTTATACTCCAGTAGATTCTCTTGGCTTTTCTATTGAGTCAGTTACCTACAATTTCATCTTTTCCTTACCAGTATTTTAGACTAGACATTCTCTTTTGTGTTGGATTATATTGGCTGCCATTTCCAAAACAATATTAGTAAAAGAGGCATTCTGGTTTGTGTTCTTTTAATGGGCATATCTCTAAAGTTTGAGGGTTAAATGTGACATGGGTTTCTCAATCGAAGTAGGTAGCTTTTTTTTTTTTAACTTTTATTTTTAAAAATTCGAAACAAAAGTAGGGACTCAATTAATGAATCCCCATGACCACTGTCATATGACTTAAATATTTTCACTAAGTCTTGTTTCATCTATATTTCCACCTATGTTGTGCTTTCCCCTCGCCTCTTCTCCCAGTGATTTTGAAGCAAATTCTACATATTATTTAATTTTGTCTATGAAATGCTATATTTCAGCATATGTCTAACAAGAACTGGTTTTAAAATTATTATTATTATACTTTAAGTTCTGGGATACATGTGCAGAACTTGCAGGTTTGTTACATAGATATACACGTGCCATGGTGGTGTGCTGCACCCATCAACCCGTCGTCTACATTAGGTATTTCTCCTAATGCTATCCCTCCCCTAGCTCCCCAACCCCCAGCAGGCCCTGGTGTGTGATGTTCCCCTCCCTATGGTCATGCATTCTCATTGAAGAACTGTTTTAAAAAAAAAAATTTTTTTTTTTTTTTTTTTTGAGACAGAGTTTCGCTCTTGTTACCCAGGCTGGAGTGCAATGGTGCGATCTCGGCTCACCGCAACCTCCGCCTCCTGGGTTCAGGTAATTCTCCTGCCTCAGCCTCCTGAGTAGCTGGGATTACAGGCACGTGCCACCATGCCCAGCTACTTTTTTTTTGTATTTTTAGTAGAGACGGGGTTTCACCATGTTGACCAGGATGGTCTCGATCTCTTGACCTCGTGATCCACCCACCTCGGCCTCCCAAAGTGCTGGGATTACAGGCTTGAGCCACCGCACCCGGCCAGAAGAACTGGTTGTAAAAAGAAAACTTCAATACAAAATAGATATATGTTATAACTATTAGGTACAAAGAATACAAAATTATTAGCAGATGTTATTAGCAGACCTTAGAGAGTTAACTAGAAGCAATGAACATCAAGGAGAGTTTGAAAGTAATTAAATGTGAAACAAGCAATAATAAACATTTATGTAACACTCTATGCTAATAATAACAAACCTTCATGTGAAACTCTGTGCTAAGCAGTCTTGTAAGATACATCTATATATATATTTACTCATGTAGTCCTCAACACAACTCTTGTGAGATGACACTGTTGTTTACATTTTATGGAAGATAAAACTGAAGCCCAGAGATAAGTAACTTACCCTAGAGTATATTGTTAGGATAGAGTTGGGATTTGAGACCAAGAAGTTGAACTCTAGTCCATGCTCTTAACTTTTACCTTAGGTTGCCCCTTGTCTGCACATCAGTATCTTTCCTCTACATGCAAGCAAAACTAAGTTTGCAAACAAGACAGAAAAAGTTCATATTTATTCACAAAAAAGCAAGCAAAAGCCTTATAAATAAATTTAGTAAGATAGATACAAGTCATCTGAAGAAACCCTCAAAACCTTACTGAGAGAGAGAAAATGGACAAATAGAAATGCCATGTTGCTAGTTGTGTTGTAAAAATATAAAATCTCGCAGATTGATCTGCAATTACAAATATGATAAAATAACAATGGGATGGTTTGAGTGTTAGCTCATCTTTCTTTTTTCACTTCACTTATTTTTGTGTTAATTTTTTAAGATATTCAGAAAATGGGCTGGGTATAGTGGCTCACGCCTGTAATCCCAGCACTTTGGAAGGCCGAGATGGGCAGATCACAAGGTCAAGAGTTTGAGACCAGCCTGGGCAACATGGCGAAACCCTGTCTGTACTAAAAAAAAATACAAAAATTAGCCAGGCATGGTTGTGTGCCACCTGTAATCCCAGCTACTTGAGAGTCTGAGGTAGGAGAATCACTGGACCCTGAGATGCAGAGGCTGCAATGAGCCAAGATTGCCCCACTGCACTCCAGCCTGGGCAACAGAGTAAGACTCCATCTCAGGAAAAAAAAAAAATATATATATATATATATATATATTCAGAAAATACAACTTAAGTACTATGTAATTTAAAACTGACTTTGTCTATCTGTCTTCTGTTTGGTCTTTTTTTTTTTTTCTTTCAAAATGAACAAGGTGGTAATGTTTATTTCCAGGAAACCATACATCCTGACTTAACCTGAATATTACAGGGACTTTAGAAGAGTTACTACTTCCGGGCAGTGGCTCTTGCCTATAATCCCAGCACTTTGGGAAGCCAAGGCAGGAGGGTCATTTGAGCCCAGGAGTTCAAGACCAGCCTAGGCAACATGGTGAAACCCTGTCTCTACAAAAAATATAAAAATTAGCTGGCCATGGTTTCACAAGCCTGTAGTCCCAGCTACTCAGGAGGCTGAGGCAGGAAGGATCGCTTGAGCCCCAGAGGCAGAGGTTGCTGTGAACTGAGATCATGCTGCTGCACTCCAGCCTCAGCGACAGAGCCAGATTGTGTCTCAAAAAAAAAAAAAAAAAAAAGAATTACCACTCAGGAACATTCTAGAAAGATGCCCATCTAGCCTAAAGATTTATCTATCAACTCTCTGGGGAAGAGCTGAGACCAAAGTTCCGTATTAAGATCCTGTTTATTGGCCAGGAATTGGGTAAGGGCTCAAGATACAGTGAAGAGCAAGAAGGTTATGAATCTATTTAAATACTGGAAGACAAAAATAAGAGTCACTAGAGGGTAGAAGGGCATGATCTGTCTCTAGGATGTCAGGGGAGAGGGACATTCCTTGACAGGGAAGAGGAAAGTTCCCAGGTTTCAAATAGGCAGGTGTCTCTGGTGCTACTTAGTGCAAGCCTTCAGATTATAACTCTGGTCTCTTGTATCACATCTAATGATTAATTTTTAAAATCTGAATTAACATTATCATCATCATCATAGCCATTCATCTCCAAAGATAGCAACGACCCATTCTAAAAACTCTGTTTCCGGGAGTTTACTATGTTGGTTCTTCCTCTGCGTTATCAGTCCTTTTCTGTCTCCTTTGCTTGATCCCTCCTGTAAATATTGGTGTGACCCAGGAATCAGCTGGCAGTCTGTTCCTTTGCCTTATTTTCATCCACTCTCCTTGGGGTTGACATTACAG